GACACGACACGACACGACACGACACACCGACACGACACGACACGACAACGACACGAGCAACGACACGACACGACACACGACATGACACGCATGTCATACGGCACAGATCAAGCAGCTGCAGCAGGCGTTGGCGGGTGCGGAGGCGGTGCTGGCGCCGGGCGGTCGTCTGGCGGTGATCTCGTTCCACTCGCTCGAGGACCGCGAGGTGAAGAACTTCATGCAACACTGCGCCGGCCGCAAGAAGGCAGTACTCGAACCGCAGCACGCCGGCTGGGAGCGCGACCATGTCGACGAAGACGACGATGGTGATGAAGAAGAAGACGAGAAAAGGAACCGAGACGACGACGGTGAGGAGGGCGATGAGAGCGATGACGAGGCCGACGAGCTGTTCCTGCCCTCGTTCAGGGTGGTGGGCAAAGGTGGTAAGTTCGTGGCGCCGTCGGATGCTGAGGTGCGATCCAACCCGCGCGCGCGGTCGGCGAAGCTACGCGTGGCCGAACGCACCCGATTCCCACCGCTCCGACCCTTCGGTTGAGCCTCAAGCCAAGACACGACACGACACGACACACAGCACACACAGCACACGCATGATCAAACAGCTTTTTATGTGCCAAGAATGCAAGATCTCAGCATTCCCAGCATACCAAAAGGTGACCGTTTGGTTTTTTAAATATTTATGACTTTACCGCAGCCTTTATCGATCATCAACAGATAAATCAGATGTGGGGCCAGGGTGGAGCGATGCAACGGCAGAGCATGGTGGAAGGCGACGAGGCCGAGCCAGCCGAGATGGAGCAGGAGCAGGAGATTTTCTTTGAGCTGGAAGATGCCGCCGACACCTTTGTGGTCCCCACGCAGCCGGCAGGATCGATGGCGAGGAGGTCGTCTGGCAGCACCTCTTCGTCGAGGATGCGAACTATGTCGACCACCGACGCGTCGTCATCTTCTGTGCAGCAGCAGAGGCAGCGAATCGATTTGCGGCTCGCCTACCTGGACCTCCCGCACGCCACTTCGGCATCTTCATCTTCTTCACCTCCACCTGCACAGTCCCAGCACCAGCACCACCACCAACGTAGCCCCTCCATGCCAGCAGCAGCCTTCTCCTCTTCTACTCAACCATCTTCGTTTCTTCATTCTTCATCTCTGCCCGCCGCTACTTCCATCTTTTCCTTCGCCCCTTCTACTTCCTCATCTTCATCTTCTTCGCCCTTCCACAACCCCTTCGGCGTGGGCCTCCCTGCGCCCTCACCGCCTTCACCATCACCTTCACCGTTTGCCACCACGACCACCACCTTCTTCACCCCTCTGTCGTCCATGCCCTCGTCTCTCTTTCCTCTTCATCAACAAACCGCACCACTACCATCATCATCATCATCAACACCATCATCGTCCACGCCGTCGTCGTCTTCGACGCTGTCGTCGCTCTTCGGCGTCAACCCGATGCACAACACAACAACGACCACTTCGACGTCGACGCAGCAGACCACGAAGAAGAAGCGGAAGCACCGGATTCGAAGCGCGTCGATGAACAGCACAACATCGTCGTCTTCTTCTTCTTCATCATCGTCTTCTTCATCATCGAATCGACCGTCATCGACGCTGCACGACCTTGACGGAGAAGACGCCATGGACGAAGAAGAAGGCGCGCGCGGGCGTCTTCGAGATGGCGACGAGGACGACCAGGGCGACTACTACGACTCACACGACGACGATGAAGACGACGATAACGACGACAACGATGAAGAGGAGGCCGCGGCCTTCGTGGGCGGGCGGTCGGAGCGTGAGGCCCTGCGCGTCATGGCCAAGCGCATGCGGCTCATGCAGCCCTTTGCCGACCGCCACCACCAACGCGGCGACGGCGACGGCGACGGCGACAACGTCGAAGCCATGGCCGCAGCCGACGACGCCGACGCCGACGCCGACCACCGCAGGCCGCGGCGGGCTTCGGCCCTGACGCGGACCAGAGCCAACCCGAACCGGGCGAGCCTGCACGACGGTGGCGGCGGCAAGGGCAAGGAGTGGGTGACCGACCACGACAACGACCACGATGAGCTGGACGTGGACGACGACGGAGTGGACGACGACGAGGAGGAGCTGTACGTGCGGGTGAAGACGCTGACGGGCAAGGTGCTGCAGGTGGCGGGCCTGCGGCGCGGGACGACGGTGGCCGAGGTCAAGCAGCGGCTCGAGGAGACGGCGGGCATCCCGAGCCACCAGCAGCGCCTGGTCTACCGCGGCAAGCAGATGGCCGACGCCCGCACCCTGGCCCACTACGCCGTCGGCCCCAACGCCATCCTCTACATGGTCCTCGCCCTACGCGGCTGACCGGCGCTCGCTTTCACCCGCAACTCATCCATCGCTGGCATGACCTTCTCTGCTGCAAAAATGGTAAATCACCCCTGGCCTTTTATTCCTGAGCGATTTCGACGATGGCCTTGCCGACGTTCTTGCCCTCGAAGAGGCCCAGGAGGGAGGGGACGAGGTTCTCCAGGCCGTGCTCGGTGGTGAGCTCGTAGTGGATCTTCTTCTCCTTGTAGAGCTGGGCCAGCTTGGTGCGCGCCTCCTCGAACTTGTCGTAGAAGTCGTAGACGAGGAAGCCCTCGATGCTCACCCGCTTGGCGATGATCATGAACGTATTGTACACCGGCACCGGGTTGTTGTACGAACTGATCTGTTTGTCCATTTGCAAATCGTGTAAGTGCCGTGTTTGTCGTGTGTGCGTGTGCGTGTGCGGTGGTGTGTGCGTGCCCTCAGTGTGTTGTGCGTACCTGACCGCACATAACGATACGAGAGTTATCGTTGAGGTTGAGAAGCACGGCGTCCAGGGTCGGACCACCCACGTTATCCCAGTACAAGTCCACTCCTGCTCACGCAAGCATCAGCGTTTGGTGTGTGTGTGAGTGCGTGCGTGCGCGCGTGCGTGCGTGCGTGCGGTGAGCAAACCCTGAGGGCAGGCTTCTTTGATGGCCTGGTCGAGCTTGTCGCCGGCCTTCTTGTAGTCGATGCACTTGTCGAACTTGAACTTCTCCTCGACCAGCTTCGTCTTCTCAGGCCCGCCCGCCAGACCGATGACGGTGAGGCCCAGCTCCTTGGCCACCTGGCCCACCACCGACCCGACGGCGCCGGCAGCCGCGCTGACCACGATGGTCTGGCCCTTCTTGGGGTGGCCCACCTCGGTCAGACCTGTTGCATTTATGAGTTTTTTAATCATCACCCAATCCGCAGGGGGTAAACATAAAATAGGCCAACGAGAACACAGCACGAACCCAAGTAAGCCGTCTCGCCGGTCATGCCCAACAGGCTGAGATTGAGTGGCAGGTCCTGGTGGTTGTGGCCAGGTTAGTAAATGTAATTTCAAGCATGACAGATAAAATTGACTTATAAAATAAAAATTAAATAATAACAAAGAAATAGAATTTCAATTTCCAAGCCCTTGGTGTCGAGCTTGTTGACGACGCTTTTCTTGATCTCGTTCTCCTTGATCACATCTGACCAATCGATCAGGTTTTATGAGTGTGGGCCAATGGGAACGCTGGGTTTGGGTTTGGGTTGTGGGGACGAGTACCGAACTTGCGCCAGCGGAGCATGCCCGTGATGAGGTCGCCCTCGCTGAACTTGCTGTTGCGCGACTCGAGCACTTTGGCGATGGCGTCGCCGTACATGGGCTTCCCCACCTCATACGACTCCGTGTACGAACCCTCCAACGTCATCTGCCTCCCTCGTTAGTCCACCGCACACACCGCACACACCGCACACACCGCACACACCGCACGACACACGAACACAACACGCACCTTGGGGCGCATGTAGGGGTCGACGGAGAGGTAGAGGATCTTGACCAGAAGCTCGCCATCGGCCGAGAGCTGCGGGTAGTCGCAGTCCTGGAGCTTGAAGTTGTCCGGGGTGGGCTTCTCCTTGGGCTTGGAGGCGAAGATCACCTCCTGGTTCTGCTGCTGCTTCTGCTGCTCGCTCATGATGACACTGGTTTGTGTGAGTGTATGTGGAAGGTTCTGTGTTTAGGGGGTGATATGAGTGTTTGTGTTTTGAAGTTTCTCTCTGAGAATGGAGGGGAGAGCTGATGCAAAGCAAATAAATAGGTGGGGGTTGGTGCAAGGCCAAAGCTGACGAATTCTCTGGCGCGCTTGCTGGGCGAGCTGACCGAAAGTATGGCGGGAGATCAAACAATTCGAGACATGCGCGACACGTTGACGCGCATAACTCCCACATTCCAGGCATCGGCAGTTTTTTTGTTCCGCGTTTGCCTGGTGGGCGAACACAGTAGGAGTACTGGTAGACACGTGCGCTGGGTACATGTTGGGGGGAAAAAGAATCAAAAAAACAAAGATGATCGATCATGCGGGGAGGAACACTTCGATGTTCTCCATGAGACTCGACAGGAGGGTGTCGCCGTTGATGAGCTTCGTCGTGGCGATGATGTACTCACGATTGTCTGATGTGTGTGTGTTGTGGGTGTGTGGTGAGTTGGGCGAGACACCGACCGCCACATACGCGCTCGCTGGCGAGGTGGTGTACCGTCTTGCTGCGAGAGCCAGCGGATGGCGGCGATCTCGGTGAAGGTGACGCCTCCGATGAAGAACACCAGATGCACCTTGCTCGCTCCGGTCGCACCTCCGACTGCGCCAATTTAGGTCCGACTGACTCGTCAGCCCCCTCCAAAGAACGAAACCAAACGAGCCAAAGAGCGAAGCGAAGTCGGGTGTAGTGTGGACGGGGGGGGGGAGGAACAAGATACCTTGGAGGACGCCCTCGGGCAGCTGCTGGTCCTGCTCGAAGCTGGGACCGGGCAGGGTGTTGAGCACGTCGACCATCTGCCGCCAGCTGTTGGCCAGCTCCACCAACCGCACACTGACCGGCGCGTACCTAGTGATGTGCGTGCGTGCGGGTACGGTGGTGAGTCATCTGTGTGCGTGTGCGCGTGCGCGTGCGCTGATGTGTGTGCGTGTGCGGTGGTGCGTGCGTACCCCGAGTAGACGTAGGCGATGTCGTTGGGTTCGGCTTCGTTGATGTTCTCCACCACGAGGCGGAGGCGGTTTCGCACCACATCGAAGGTCTTCTTGCCCTCCTGCTTCTTGATCAGCCCCAGCCGCTCCAGGTTGCTGTTCCCCCCGCGTAGCCAAGCCGCCAGCCATCAGCATCCAGTCGACGAATTAAAATAAAATAAAATTACAAATAATAACCGAATAAAAGATAAAAACGAATAAAGAAAAGAAATGTACGTACTTGAGCGTGAACAGGTATTCGTAGCCGTAGGCCTGGAAGAAGTGAGAGAAGTGAGTGACAACGTCGCTCTACGTGTCTCATATGCGCTGTGTGTGTGTGTGTGTGTGTGTGGTGTTGGTGTGCTCAACCGTGGCCTATTTCCTCATGCTTCTGGGCGAAGTGGGCATGCGTGAGCGTGTGCGTGTTAGCGTACTGAGAGGATTTCGGTCTTGAAGAATTCGTATTCCTTCTGCTTGATGCCCTGGTTGGTCATCGAATACAGCACCAGCAGGCGCAATACCTGCGCCATGTTTACCACCGACAGAAGCCACACACAACGACACACGCACGCACGCACGCACGCACGCACACACACACACACACGAAACAGTAAGCTTCGTTCTCTGCTGGCGCGTGTGGTAGTGTGTGCGCGGCGTGTGCGGTGGTGTGTGTGGTTCAGACCTTGACGAGCGGCTCCTGACGAGAGATGCACTCCTCGATGTAGTCGTTCGGTGGGTTGTTTCCCAGCAGCAAGTCTGAAAGCAAGAAGAAGAGGTGAGCCGGATGAACTCCAACGACATCTTTCAGCGTGTCGTGTCGTGTCGTGTCGTGTCGTGTCGTGTCGTGTCGTGTCGTGTCGTGTGTCGTGTGTCGTGTGACTGTGTTGACAGTACCCTGCTCGGCGGAGAGCTGCTTGTGGAAGTTGGAGCCCTTGGTCACCCTGAGGATGTGCTCGGCCACGCTCGTGTGCGTGCGCAGCGATTGGTGCTCCTGAAGGAACGCAAAAGAAAAGAAAAGAAAAGAAGCACAATGAGCGACAAACGTTGGGGAAAAAAGAAAAGAAAAGAAAATGGAGAGGCGGTGCGAGTGGTGAAAGAAAAACGGCACCGTTTGGTAGGAGCCGAGGCCCTTCATGAAGTCGCGGATTTCCGATACCGTCTTGAAGTCGTATCGTTTCTGCAGCCACACACATGCGTTGGTCATACGAGGCTGGCCACACGACACACGGCACACGACGGTATGTGCAAACCTTGTAGTATTCATCGATTTCTTTGGCCTTCTTGTTGAGCAGCGGACCCAGCACTCCGAAGTTGACGTCCCGCAAGAACGCAAACAGTCTGAGCTCACGCGTGAGCGTACTATGAGTACTCCGTGTGTGCGTGTGCGATGGTGCGTGTGCAGTAGTGCGTGTGCGGTGGTGCGGTGGTCGCCGTACTTGTCGTTGGAGTTGAGGGGCGTCTTGATCTTCTTGATGCCCTTCTTGGACGCCTCTTCGGCCTTGCCCACGAGCTCCGGGTCCAGGTCCACCAACCCGTTGTTGATCCCAAACACCTCGTCGATCAATCTGGAAACGCACACGACACACACGACACACACGACACGACACACGCGACACACACGACACACAAGACGAATAAAGTCAGCAAGAGGAACGCATAGACTGAGCCAGGGCCTCGGCGAGGCGGGGCGGAGGAAACGGACCCTTCGTAGGTGAGCTGGGTGCACATGGGGGTGACCATGTCGGTCTGGCGGTCGATGAGGATGAGCGTGTCGATCTCCGGCACGATCTGGGTGGGCTCGTCGGCGCCCATCTCCCGCCGCATGCGCAGCAGCATCTCCGCGACGCCCTGTAAAGACGTGCGAGTCAGTCAACAAAGAAAAAGAAAAAGAAAGAAAAGAAAGAAAGAGAAAAAGGGAAGGTGAGTGGGTACCTTGGCGCAGGAGCCCTTGCCCTTGATGTGCGGGATGATGCCGAAGGTGGACTGCAGCTTCATGATCGACCGCGCCACGTAGAACAGCGACGTACGGTCCCCGTCCTATCAAAGATCGAATTCAAGCATCAATTAAGCGTGTGCGTGTGCGGTGGTGCGTGTGCGGTGGTGCGTGTGCGGTGGTGCGTGTGCGTGTGCGTGTGCGGTGTGCGCGGTGTGCGGTACCAGGAAGCACTCTCGGAAGGAGTCTTCCATCTCAAGGCTGAGGACGTCCTTCTCGAAGGGGATGAGGTCGAGCTGGAATTCGCCCAACGTGACGTCGCCGTACACTCCCTCCTCCTCCAGATGCCTGCCATTCCACACACACAACACACACACGACACACGGCATACACCGCACACCGCACACCGCACGCACACACGGCACACGCAGCAAACCTTTCACAAAGCATGGTCTGGCGAGGCACGAAGAAGATGTAGTAGTTCTTTCGCTGGTCGTCTCTCTGGTGATTCTGGATGTGTTCGCCGATGAAGCGGATGAACTGGATTCTGCAAGACGGCCCATCGAATCAGCCCTCCGCCCACACACGACACACGCACGACACACACGACACACGACACACAGCACACACACGACACACATGACACACGGCACACACGGCACACACGCGCCTACCGAGGTCGAATGAGGTAGACGATGTTCTTGCAGTCGGTGTCGAGACGGTCGGAGAGGTGGTAGATCTTTTCCACGCCGTGCTCTTTGAGCAGCGACACCTCGGCGATGAGGCCCAGCGGACCCGACAGCTTCGGGTCAAGCACCAGCCCCTTCCCGCCCGGCACCTACAATTCCCAATAAAAATATATTTAATTGGCATTTATATTAAAAAATAATGTCGATTAGCCTGTATTTTAATAATTCTGAAAGAATAACTTTAATTGCTTTTGAAATTGATTGGGGGGGCGAATGAAAAGGAGAGGAATGGTGGGGTACCGAGTCGAGAACGCGAATGAGCTCAAGCTTGGCGTGTTCCCGCACGACATTGAGATTGATGGCCGCCTGGTCCAGATTGGGGATGCCCGAAATAGGCTGCGCCCCCGGCCCTCCTCCCTGAGGCGGTGCTCCAGCGGCCGCCGGCGCCGCTGCCGGCTTGGGCACTGGCGCTGGTTGTGCTGCCGCCCTCTGCATGTTTTATAATAATAACAAAATGATCACGAAAAGACAACCGCCTTTTCTTTTGTACATCATTTTATTTGTTGATTGATTAAAGATGGAGGGTTGCCATAGGGCCTGGGCGTACATGGGGACGGTGCCGACTGGGGTGGAGGAAGCGGCACGAGAGGAGATTTCGGCCAAGCTGCGCCCCGCGGCTGTGCACTCCACCATGGGCAAGGTGCGCCGCCCAGATTAAATTCGCGAGTAGCGGCAGATGAGATGCTCAGATATCATCAATCAGAGATCTGATGACGCGAGTACTCCCAGGTGTTCATGGAGACGGCGGCACCGCTTGAAGAGGTGACCGCGCTACGTGCTGTAGACCGCCTGTTCCTGCTGGCGCTACACCATCCATCGCCCAACTATCCTGCAGGTACTACACAACACGCGAAACGCTACAGGCTGGACGCCGCACACAACAAGGTCATGGCGCTGAAGCTGTAGTGGTGGCACAGAGGACTCGTTGGTGGCGGCGTTCAAGGCGTGGGTGGTGAGCGAGACCATCGACTGGCCTGCGATCCTCGATGTCTGGCAGAAGGCCTACCACGGTTTGTGTTCCATGCCAATCACACACCGCACACACCGCACACAGCACATGCACCACCGCACACGGTCACTACTCGAACCTGACGCCCCCCAACAGCTCATTTGCGACCACCCGAGGTGGCACCCGCAAGCGGCTTTGGATACTACCCGGACACGCCCTGCCGCAGGTGCGTTGTGTGCGTGTGCGCTGTGTGCGTGTGCGGTGGTGCGTGGGCGTTGCATGTTGAGGGATCACAACGTGCGATGGTGCGGCGCCACAGGTGGGACTCGAGGTACGCGTACGCCAATTCGGGCATCAGCTTCGCCGTTTCGTGTACGAGGACGGGCCTGCGCACCAAGAGCCTCACCTCCAAGCAGATCGCCCAACACGTACCTCTCCTCCCCCCTCTCTCACGTGCCACGTCAGCGTTTGCTGACGTCAGCTTACTTACTGGCACCGCGCCCAACGCAGTGCGGCGACAGCCTGGTGGAAGGTGAGTGACTGCGCTGGTGGCGTCTGGTCGCTTAAGGTAGGCAGCTGACGTGGCGGCGGAATGTGAGCTATGGCGCGCAGAGTTTGGGTGGAAGGTGGACCTGGAGCAGCCGGCGCTCTCCATCGCTATCTACGCCACCGATGACCACTTCATTGTTGGCATTCCACTGCTCGAGGTACGTAAGTGCGCTCACCCATCATCGTCATCGTCACCATCGTCACCATCGTCATCATCGTCTTATCGTCGTCAGAGCCAAGTGGCCAAGCGAGAGCACATTCGGGGCAAGGGACTGCGATGCTCCATCGCCTATGCCATGTGTCGGTTCGATTTCCCATCATCGGCTGCCTTTTGCGGGAGCACGCTACATGTCTGACGCGCGACACACATGACACGCACACGACATGGCACGACACGACACGACACGCACCACGCGACACAGAGCAGCGGGGGTGGCGAATGGGAGCGTGATTCTCGATCCCATGTGCGGCCGGGTACGTGGCCCCACACCCGTCTCCCTCCCCCCCTCCGCTTCCCGTGCGTCTTAGCTGACTGCAACACACAAAAAATAAGGGGACCACTTTGCTCGAGGGAGCCGTTGACTGGCCCGACGCGCACTACATCGGCGGAGACCTCGACGACACAACGCTCGAATATGCCCGCATCAACGCCGAACGGTACGTGCCTGCCGTGTGTCGTGTGTCGTGTCGCATGCTGTGTGTGTCGTGCGTCGTGCGTGTCGTGTTATGTGTCGTGTGCTGATGCATTATAGCAGACTGCGGGAGTCGTCGCTGCCCGGCCTCTCGCTTTCGCTGTTCAAGTGGGACGCCACGCGGCTGCCGCTGCGCGATCGGAGCGTCGACGTGGTGGTATCGGACGTGCCCTACGGCAAGCGCCACGGGTCGAAGGAAGACAACCGACGCCTCTACCCCCACCTGCTCGAGGTACGTACCCTTCTCCTCGTTTGCCGGCCCGCACTCGCCGACACTTACACGCACGACACGCATGATACGCACGACACACGCACGACACACGCACAACGCGTAGGAGTTCGCCCGCGTGTTGCGACCAGGCGGAAGGGTCGTGTTGCTCACCACTCTCACCCGCATCATGGAAGGCGCCTTTGCCACGCACAAGTGCGTACTCCACGCCATCACTGTATCGGTGTCGTGCGTGTGTCGTGACGCGTGTGTCATGTGCGCAAACTAACGTGTTGCTTTCTGATGGTCACCAGGTCCAGGTGGACGACACTGCCGCGTCGCGCGCTGATCAACAACGGCGGGCTCAACACCTACCTGTTCGTCGCCACCCGGAAAGAGGACCCGCGCGACGGAGGCGACGACGATGGCCTGAGCAATCGCGAGCGCAAGCGAAGGCGCGCCCGGGCCTGGCACGCCGCGCAGGCCCTCGAGGCCGCCACCGCCACCGCCACCGCCGCCGAGCCCTCATCGGGCTAATCGCGCTGCGACGCTTCGACCGTGTCTGCGGCGGCGGCGCTGTCTCGTTCCTTGCGGAGCAGCTGCTGCCATCTATTGGCCAGCGCCATCTCCAGGCTAAACAACGACGCCTCTGCACACACACACCGCACACGTCATGACACGACACGCGCACAATCGCACGCACAGACACGCGTTGTGTGTGGCGTGTGTGTGTGCGTACCTTTGAGGTGGGTGTAGGAGTGGTGTCCGACCTGTGGGCGGGCGGCGGCAATGGCGGCCGCCGTGGGCGCGCTCAGGTGGCCGCCGTCGGGCAAGGGCTCCCGTGCCAACCGCTCCAGCACCTCCTGCTGGGCTGCACTCAGCGTCTTTCCTCTGAATAAGTCCAGTGAGTGTCCTCGCCGTGCGTGTCGTCACGTGTCGCTGTGCGTGTCCTATGTCGCCGTGTGTGTCGCTGTGTGTGTGTCGTACGGCGGAATGACTTCGGCGCGATTGCGAGCGAAGCAGTGCAGGTGGTACAGCGCGGGGTGGGACACCATCCAACACGCCTCGGCGAGCCGCTTCTTGTCTTCGTGCCCGTCGTTTGCACAGTGCGGGCAGAGTTCTAACCAACGCACCGCAAACAACACTCAACCGCACGCAAAGTACACACACGCGACACACGCGACACGCGACACACAACACACAACACACACGACACACGACACACGACACACGACACACGACACACGACACCCACGTACCGTAAATAGACCTTTCACAGACGCGGCAAGAATAGCAGCAGTGACACCTACGGATGCAGCGGAAGCCCAGCGCAAAGCCTACTCGACAAAAGTACAAAGTTGTGAACTACACCGCACATACCGCACACACCGCACACACCGCACACGACGACACCTACGGTACCGGTGACGTGGAACCCGGGAGCGGTGGTGATGGACCCGGCCGGCAGCGTCGCCAGCAGCCGGGCGCCGAGTTTCTGGGCCTCGGCGAGTGCGGCCTCCTCGGCGGGCGTGATCTCCAGCTTCAGGTACTTGCCCCGCAGCCGCACCTCGCGGTCGGCGAAGTTCAGTTCCGTCCCTGCACAATACCTCCGATACGTTGGTCGTGCGGTGCGTGCGGTGCGTGCGGTGTCTGCGGCGCGTGCGGTGTGCGGTGTGTGCGGTGTGTGCGATGCGTGCGGTGTGCGCGTGTGGTACCTGGCGCAATGTCGGCCAGCTCTTGGTTTGTGATGAGGAGACTGCGCGAATCGTAGAAGGCGCCCAGTCGACTGGGCAACGCCGCGCTGACGACGGCGACCAGCCCCGCCAGCGATTCGGCCACCACCCACGCGTAGGCCGCCGGGATCATCAGCGCTCGCGCCACATCGCTCACCGTCATGTCACCACCACCACCCTACACAATGTACATTACTGATTTATAACATATTGCGTCTTTTCCTACATCAATATATTCATATAAAAAGAATATACATATATTCATATAAAAAGAACATATTGATGTAGTTATATATACCTTTGTATTGGATAGGACCGACAGCAGGGCGTACTGGTTGAGGGTGAGCCTGATGGTCCGCGAGGTACCACCCTGGGTGCCGGTGTTACCCGTGTGTGAGTTTGGAATGCAAAGAATGCGTGGGGCGAAGGGCGCGTACGGCTGATGGCCATTCCAGCGTCACGGTCCAGTGCGAGATCAGACCGGCGACCAACTGGGTGTCCACCTCACCCTCGTTTCTGTGTCGAGATCGGAGGTAAAACAACACCGTGAGCGATTCTCATAGGAGTTAAAAATCGTGTGGGACCGAACGTACACCAGCTTCAGCAAGATCGGCCATAGGGGCCGCGGCCAATGACCAACTGCACACCAACACACACACCAACACACACCAACAAACACACACACACGACGCAACACGACACATATGACACACACGCCACCACCGCACACACCGCACGATACACCGTTCTCACCAGAGGGTCAATACATGCTGTCTTCGCGTACCGGGGTGGGCGGAGGGTGTACGGAAGCATATGGGCCATCGCTCCTCAATTTGTTGACTGCCCACAGACACCACGCGCAGGCGAATGGCCCACGGCGCGCGCCCATACTGCGCCTCCACCAGCTCCTCCCGCACTTGCAACTTATCGCCAAGGTGGGACTTCATATCATTAACCTTCGCACACAACACACACACGGCACACACGCACACCGCACGCACGCGCGCGCGCACACACACACACACACACACGGTCAAAATAACAGGGGCGACGCCACGGGGTTGACGGGTGGGTGCCTGGTGTTGGTGGGTGAGCAACGGGAGGAGCGACTGACAGAGCGCGTGCAGCGTCGGGGCGTCGGCCTCGCTGGCCGTCAGGAGCTGCTCGGCGAGCGCCGACATTATCGCCTATCAGGACCAATCGCGGTGAGTCGTCATGTGTGCGTGTGCGTGTGCGGTGGTGCGTGTGCGGTGGTGCGACGAACCGGACGGAAGGTGACGCGAGCGGTCGGGTGCGGATTGGGCAGGTCGGTCATGCGGCTAATGAGCGCCTGGAACTGCGCCTTGGTCGCCTCGGCCGCCGGCAGGCCCTCGTCCTTGGTGGCCCTGTTGTCGTCGTTTTCGTGGTCCCCGCGGCGGCTGGCCCGCGTGGCGGCGGACAAGCTCAACCGGAGCGCCTGCACGAACGCAAACTCGCTCACACGGAGATGGAACAGTCGCACCCTGTGTGGATATACATTAATATAGTTGTATATATGTGGATATATAGTTATGTATATATATCAGTAAATGTTGTTGTGTGACGCAAGTGTAGTTTTACCTGATGGGAAGACTGCGCCACTCGAACCACTCGAGGTCTTGGCCCAGCTCTTGACAAGGCCAGAACAATGAGGCCGATTAGTCCAGGTACGGCCAGGAGTAGTGATAGCCGTCATGATCATTCTTCTCACCATCACCATCACCATCACGCGTACCGGGACATGCAGCGAGAAGGGCCTGCAGCAATTCGGGGGCGTTGGTGGGTTGTCCGCCCAGCGGCGCTGCGCCCAGCCGCCAGGCCAAGGGCGTCCGCTTGATCTCGTCATTCCTGCAATTTGATTTTATTAATTATTTTATGTTATTTTTTATTTTTTATTTTTTGGGCTGTGGCGAGGGCGAGGGCACCAGTGACGGCACACGGCGGAGGCGGCGCAGAGGTCGCGGTGGCCAAGACGGCGCCACACGAGCTCACGCAACTCGTTGGGCATGCAGTCCTCCATCTAGAGCGCAAGGCGAAATTGATATTTAAAACTAAACAATATTGAAGTGAAATGTGATGTATTTGTTTACTCTGCAGAGAAATTCAAAACGGAAATTACAACGAATGGTGGGGGCGAATCAGAAGAGCAGACACGAGCTCTTGGACTTGCGGGGCTTGACCTTGTCCTCGGAGAAGGACACGCCCTCGAGCTCCCGAATCTTTCGCACGACGCAGAAGAAGCTCTCGTCCACGTTCAACCGGCTCTTGGCCGACGCTTCCATGAAGTAGCACCCCCACCTGATGATAGTAGCCAGCAGCCAGCCACGTTAACACCAAAAGTGGTGGTAGCATTAAGCTTACACTGGTGGTGAAGTGGTCGTACGCTTTGGCCAATGCGGCTCCGGTGCTTGTTGGCACCTGGCGATTCGGTAGATCGCACTTGTTGCCCACTAGCACTATTTTTCCCCCATGCAACCAATCAGGAGAGTGAGCTCACACTAAGTGGTCCAATGACAATGAAGCTCGTTGGCCCTATCATACCCATCGGTGGCGCCTCTGACTCAGTCACGTCTTTCACCTGTCATGGAGAAAGTACCGACTTACTACATTTCCAGCTCAACCAGCCAAGACCCGGGGCAGGTAGTTGGGCGTACGTGGAGGATCTGGGTGCGGAACTCTTCGAGCTCGTCGAATGAGGTCTTGTCGGTGATGCTGTACAACAGGAGGAAGCCCTCACCGCTCCTGATCCACTGGCTTCGCAAGGCCTGCAGGGTTCCGAATTTCACATCAGCTCAACAGTTGTAAGCACAGACACAAGGCAGGCACGACATAGGGGCCGAGGTCTGGGGCGTACGCTGAGTTCCTCCTGGCCAGCGGTGTCGAGGACGTCGAGCATGCAGGCGTAGCCGTCGATCACCACCTGCCTTCGGTAGCTCGACTCGATAGGTGGGCCACGAATCAAGGATCACACCCAACTCGAGTTTCAGTAGGTTGAAGGGGAAAAAGAAGAAGGGTGGGGTAGAGGGTGGTGGGGTGGTGGGCTGGTTGTAAAGGATATTAGGATCGTAGTACTCCACGAAATGGGACGAGCACATCTGTACAGTGAATGCTGTGTGGGTTGTGGGTGTGATCGTCGAAGATGCGTGAGCGCCACAAGATGTATGACGGACAGAGCAGAAGAATTCTTGGTGGGGTGTTAGCTGCTGCTGTACCTGTCTTGCCGACGCCACCACCGCCGAGGACGGTGAGCTTGTACTCTGTCTTGGTGAACGACGATTCAGTTGATGCGGATTTTTTCATCTGTGGTTGATTGTTGTGGGGCAGGGAATAAGTCTAAGTGGTTGTACGAGATGATGATATGATGATGTGCTCCTCCTTTGTCTTCCTTTTCCAGCAGAAGAAGCTGTTACTCTCTTCCCTGTCGACCACAAAGCCCAAATAAGGTGCCCCTAAAAACAGCTTCCAATCGCCGCGTAACTCGAGATAAGGTAAGATATGCTTGGAATCTGTTGCATTGTAATTGGAATTCCACTTGGGGTTGTTGTGTTTCGGCGAATAAACGGACAAGTTAGATATTAATTTTAAGAACAGTTACTTGCGGTGGGCGAGGATGTGGATGGCAAAGTTGATCTGGGTGGTCTTGGTGCTGAGGCTCTCGTAGATGAGGGCCTTGAACGCCTCGGCGGCCTCTTCGTCGTCCATGTCCAGCGAGAACGCGTTGCGCAGGTAGTCGATGTCCTCCTCCGACGTCAGCTCCGGAATGCCCGTCGACAACATCTGTGTCGCTCATGTTAAACCCATGCACACACCGCACACACCGCCGCACACACCGCCGCACACACGTACCATGGTGAAGAGAGTGATGAAAATGTTGGCGTAGCGCCGGAGGGCGTTGTAGGCCCAGCAGCAGTACTCCACGAAGCGTTCGAATTGCGCGCTCTCCTTGCCGCCCATTACGAACACAAACTCGGGCGTCAACACAAATGGTGCCTGCGCACACGACACACGCACATGACACACACACACACGGCACACACATGACACACGGCGTTAGTCGCGTTACGAAGATACGAGCGGAGTGGCTTGTTTTCTGGACCTTCTCGCGTCTGTACATGAGGAACTTCTTGTAGTTGCCCAAGAAGTGCCCGAAGTCGATGTGCACCAAGTGGCCGTCCTTCCGCACCATGCTGCCATGTACGGCCAACATAGCGGACCAACATGTTAGAACACCACAGTGCCGTGTGTGTGAGTGTGTGTGTGTGTGTGTGCGTGTGCGTGTGTGGACAACACACACACACAATATTAGGTGGAGTGCTAGCGTCATACATGTTGTCGTTGTGTCGGTCGCCAATGCCGAGCACATAGGTGGCCACTGCGCACACAGAAAAACGAGGAAAAAAGGGTTAAAAGCGACGCTCTCGCCAGAAGTAGCGGGGCACTGTGTGTGTGTGTGCGCGGTACCGCAGTAGCCGGCCACCGACTTGATGAAATTGGTCACCGCCTCTGTGTAGTCCTTGTCTGCAATTTTGTTGTGTGGTCAGTGCACCTACACGGGCCAACGCAGCTCCAGAGAGAGAGAGAGAGAGAGAGAGAGAGGTATGCGAGAGAGGAGCGAACCGGAGGGGTTGTTAGAGCGAAGCCAATTGGCCAGCGGCGTCTGTCGGAACGCAGCCGTGACGCCACCGGCTGCCTTCTGGATCGCGGCAGTGGTCTCCGCCTCGGGCACCACTACACACCACGGCGCGCAGATTCAGTGAATTGCAACACACACACGCCACACACACACACGCCACACACACCACACATGACAGCACTGGGGCTTACCCTCGATCATGCCCATGAAGTCACCGGTGGCGATGCAGCCGTAAGGCGTGAGATGCAGATCCATCGTTTCCGTCTTCCACAACTGCAATCAATCAAATGGTTACGCATTGGTAACTACGGTGTGTGTGTGTGTGTGTGTGTGTGTGTGTGTGTGTGTCGTGTGTGTGTCGTGTGTCGTGTGTCGTGTCTCGTGTCGTCTGTGTCGTATGTCGTGTGTCGTGTGTGATTGTGTCGTGTGTGATCGTGTGTCGTGTGTGTCGTGTGTGTCGTGTGTGTCACGTACCTCGTCCATGATGCCGAGCATTTGGAGGGTGAGCAGGTCCTGTCGGAGGTCGTCGCCGCACTTGAAGATGACGTTGATGGGCTGGCCCAGCGGGTCGGCGTTGGTGAAGACGATCCACAGGGGCGCCTTCGCTGAGTCCATCGACCGACACTTTTCCACCAAAATACCGTTGGCCACCACCCTATTGCCCAGTCATCATTGGTTGGTTCGGTTGCACAACAACGAAAATGAAAATGCATTAATGATGAGATTGATTGTTAAGAGGGCAGCGTACGTGGGGTCGAGCGGCAGGGAGAAGCTCTTGGGGAGGGTGACCTTGGCCAGCTCCTCGTGGAGCACGGCCCGGCGTCGGGCCAGCGGCACCTCCTTCGTCCTCTCCGCAACGCTCTTGAGCTTCTTGATGACCTCCATCTGCTTCAACAAATCGGCCCTACGCCCACATGCCCGCCTTTAGTCCGTACGTGTCGACAGTTGCGTGTGCGTGTGCGGTGGTGCGCGTGTGCGTGTGCGTGTGGTACCGCTGGTCGCCGCAGCCGCGAAGGTAGGCTTCGAGCATGAGACCATAGCGCTCTGCGATCTCGGGCACGCTCATCTCCGCCTGGCCGGGCCAACAAACTGTCAGGCACACAACACATAACATGGAGGAGGAATGTAGAATAGTTGAGGAATGTACCTCGAGATGCCAGAAGAGGTAGTGTCCGATGGTGACGCGGTTTTGCAGGCCGCGCTCGATCAAAAACGCCGCCAGGTCGCTGTAGTGGTACGGCTCATACTTGAGCACCTGCGTGTATGTGTGTACGACGTACGCACACAGCGTCAGCGAAGGGAACGCGCGCATGTGTCAGTGTGTCGTGTGTGTGTGTGTGTGTCGTGTGTGTGTCGTGTGTGTGTGTGTGTGTGTGTGTGGCACCTGGACGAGCTGGAGCAGGAAGGCGGCGAGTTCGTTGTCGGAAAGCTGTCGGAGGCAGCTCACCGCGTACTATACATAGGTCACCACAAAACGGCAAATTTAGGCCTGAGCTCCAGGTCAAGTGTGTTGTAGTGCTTCAATGTGTGGCCGCACTTACCGATCGGACGTTGGCGTCCGCAAACTTGGCATCCAGAAGCTGTCATAGACCGAAGATGATGAGTCTCGTGTCGTGCGTGTCGTGCGTGTCGTGTGTGGTGTGTGTCGTGCGGGTGGTGTGTGGTGTGTTCCGTACCTCGAGTGCGTCGAGTGGAGGAAGAGGACCCCAGAGTCCGAGCAGGCCGTAGACCTGCTTCACCATCTTCACGTCGGCCCACCGCACCGCCGAGAGGAGCTTCACCAGGCTCTTGCTGTGGAGGCTTCGCAGGAATGTGCGGTATTTCCACAACAGACGCTTCTCCGACGGCGACAGTCGGTAGAGCGGATCTGTTCGTTGACCATTCGCATTCAAAGGCGAACTAATAAGCGAAGAGCGAAAAACGAAGAGCAAAGAGAAAAGAATGAAGAAATAAAGAACGAAGAACGAAGAACGAAAAAAGCGATGAGGGAGGGACCTTTGCGGATGAGGAGGTGGAGGATGAGCTCCTCGTCGCGGCTGGGTTGGGGCACGGTGTCGGGGAAGAGGGGCTTGAGGTCGGGGAAGACGACGGGCTGCGGGTAGCGCGAGAATTCGAGGCCCAGGATGACCGGCGATCTCGCCTCCAGGTTCTCCACACACGTTCCTAACAACACACCACAACCCAATGTGAACAACACGACACGACACAAGGCACGCAACACATGACACACATGACACACACGACACACAACAAGACACGACACGACACACATGTACCGATGGGATTGGCTGGTCCGTTGGGCCACATGCACAGGCTGAGCGGGCCGGTAAGCATTCGGTCGCGGTAGTCGAACAGCTGGCAATTGACCCACCCGATGGGACGCGTGTTGGATCGGCCGTCCCGCACAAACAGCGTCACGCAGAGCCGGGTCGCCTGCACAACGCCAACGTTCAGCATTTTCCTAGCAAACCGCCTAACACGCACACGCACCACCCACACGTGTAACCGCACACGCACACGCACACGCGACACGACCAACGACACGACACGACACGACACGACACGACACGACAAGACACACGGAACGAACCTTGGGGAGATCGCACATGAGGGTCTCAAATCGGAGCCACTCGATCCAGGTGGGGTTCTCGGAGGTGGGGACTGACTGGGAGTAGACCACGGGCGACAGCAGCTCGCCGCCGTGGTAGAGCCCCGCCTCCAGGTAGAGATAGGACGTAGAGGAGGTCGACGACGGCGACTCGTCGCTGGCGTCGTGCCCGAGCTTCACGTTCTCGATCCGCACCAGCTTGAACTCGAACGGTCGCTTCAGCTCCAGCAACGAGCACGTACCCTGGCGCGCGAATATATTATTATTATTATTATGCATTATGCATTGTTTATTGATATTTATTATATTATATATTATCTATGTTGGCGCAGTACCTGCATCTTGAGCTTCTTCTCCAGGCGCTCGTCCTCTTCATCGATCAATGGCACGCTGATGGATGATCGCTGCGCGGGTTTCCGGTGTGAGCACGACGTGGCAACGCAACACGCGCACGACACGCGCGCAACGACACGACACGACACACTTAGATGTACCATGGTGAGGTCGCCGTCAACGTCTTCGAGTCGAACTGAGCTCCGGAGCACGAGGGAGAAGTTGATCTTCACGCGCCGCTTCAGGCACTCCCTGCATGATGGGAAGAAGAAGAAGAAATAGAACACGTCAGTGTAGTCCTCGCGCGAGGCCGACAACCAACCTTGCTAGTGATGATCGTCATCGCAACCACTGTCGACAATCCACAACTATACAAGAAGTGTAATGTAATCATGCCCTCAATATGTCAGCCATAACATGCTTGACTTCACACTGATTGGACCAAGTGACTACTAAGTAGGAGACCAATCAGACGGATGAACTAAAAGTTGGCGAATAATCCGATTGGGCGCGACTGTATAGTGTAAGTACCGGACGTAGTCGATCTGGTGGAGCTTCCGGTCGAGTTGGACGACGTAGCGGTTGCGGCCGGTGATTTTGAAGACGTAGTCGGCCGGGTCGAGCTGGCCCTCGCGCGTGGCCTGCGACTTCTTGGCCAGCTGGTGCATGACGCCGAGGAAGGTCTGGTCGCCCGGACAGTGGAGGGTCGTGGCCATCCGCTGCTCGCCCGGCAGGTGCACCTTGACCAGGATGTCGGTCGGGAAGTCGGGCGGGACCGGCGCTATTGACAGCTTTGCCTGCGCCGCGCACTCCCAGTCCCGGTTGGCCATCGCCAGCAGCCTGTTCACGACCTCAGTTAGCCAACACTACACGACACACGACACACGACACACGACACACGACACACGACACACGACACACGACACACGCTTACTTGCTGATCTTGTGTTTGAAATGGCTGGTCTGGTCTTCGTCCGACGTATGCCAGCAGAGAGGCCGCCCAATCTGTAGACAACGAAGTTGTAAGCGTGTGTGTGTGTGTTCGTGTGTGTGTGTGTGTGTGTGTGTGTTCGTGTGTGTGCGGTTGCACGCAGGTGGTGTGAGAGGTAACCAGAGAGCCGATCTGGAGGGACATGAGTTTGTCCTGCTTGCTCTCGAGCTTGTCGACGAGACACAGCCGCGCGAGCAGTTGCTTCTGCCAACAGAACTGGATGATCGGGAACTGGTAGAGCAGCGTGGTGTCGCCGGTGAGGTACATGTGCGTGTGCCACACCTTCACCGAATACCGCGCCTTCTCGGCCAGGCACTCGTCCCCCTTCACACTGCACACCCACACGCGTCAACGACACACACAGCGACACACGACACACGCAACACCGCACACGCATGACACACGCATGAAGGGTACTGACTTGGCCTTTTCCCAGAGCATATCTTTGAGGGAGGCGAGGGTGGCGGTGGTCAAGCACTCGAGGTCCACGGTCTTGGCCCCGCCCGGCAGGTAGAATTGAATCGCAATCGGCCCGCCCTTCTTCAGATCCTACGCAACCGTACGCGCACGCAACCGCGTCAAACACGACACACGACACACGACACGACACGACACGACACGACACACAGAGACACGCACACGACACGACACGACACGCACGACACACACCACACACATGCGACATACACATGCGTACCTGCAGTGTTGGTCCGTTGCCCTGGACCCGCTTGTCGACGCGCGGCAGGAGGACTTGGGAGCCGGAGGAGGAGAGGTCGCTGAATCGGTCGGCGAGCGACTCCCGCGGCCCGAAGCCCCGGGGCGACAGCGAGCGCACGGATGTCGGCGACGACGTCAGTGGCGACGCCTTGGCCCAGATCGAGTTCCGCCTGTATGTATGGTGTGTCAATAGAACACGCCATAAACGACCACACGCGACACACAACAGCACACGACACACACAGCGATACCTGGCCCCGTTATCTCCGGCTACGGCACCGGCCAGGCTATCGGGCTTTCGACGCTGTGTGCTGGGACTCTCTTCTGTGTTGTTTTCGCAGAAGGTCTATAATGTGAGCACGCGCGTGTGCGATGGTAGCGTGTGCGGTCGAATGTTTGCTATACGCACCGCCCTCAAAGTTTTGCCGCAGGATCTTGACGCGGATGCGACCGGAGCCGGCCGACTGGACGCTGGTTCGGACGCCCTGCTTCGATGGCAGTAGGTTGAACTCGGGGATCATCGAATAGCGCACGCAATCCTGAACGTACGACGCACTCGCCACCACCTCATTGACTAACATCACGCAACACACGACACGACACGACACGACACGACACGACACGACACGACACGACACGACACGACACGACACAACCAACGACAACGACACGACATGACACGACACGACACGCGTCAGTTATTAAAAAAAACAGGCACACATGACACGATGACGGAGACGGACCTGCGATGGACCGCTCGTGGTGCGAAGGATGAAACAGACCGATGACCATCTTCTCCTGGTGCACGCCGGGGTCGACGCCGTTTGACGACGAGGACGACGACAACGGCGATGATGATGGTGATGGCGACGATGAAGAGGATGATGTGGTGGCACCTCCGTTCTCTGCTCTATCGGGTCTGTTCTCGCTCTTCTCCTCGGCCTGAAGCCTGGCCTTTTCCTTTGCGATGTCTTCGCCGGCGGCCTCCAATTCCGTCACCAGGGATCGCAGTCGTTGTAGCGCCAGTGACAGGAACTCCTCGGCTGTGGCCCCGCTTGGGCAGTTCACCACCACGCCCTCGCCGTCCGCGCCTACGCACATACAAAAACAAAGAACGAAGAACGAAAAGAAAACGAAAGCGAAGAACGAAGAACGAAGAACAAAGCGAAGATGGAATAGTCAGAAAAGTCTGGGGTGGTAAAGGAGGCGATGCGACGGCCGTGCCTTTGATGGTGATTGGAATTTGGTGGATCTGTTTGCGGATGCTGAAATTGTCTTTCGATTCCATGGCGAGCGCAGTGCTGGGCCACATCAACCGCGCGCTGGCCCTGACACTGGGCAGTGCCTTTGCCTTCCTGTTGGTCCATTATGTGTCCGTCATGATGTCAGATAGCAATCTTTGTGTGCGTGTGCGGTGATGCATGTGCGTGCGGTGGCGCAGGAGACGCACATGGGCTTCTTTGTCTTCTTCTTTTCGAACATGTAAATGCGGGCTTGCCCTGTTGTGTGGAGCAAGAGAGAGAGAGAGAGAGTTAGGACAATCTCTCTCAAGAGAGAAAGGGAGGGAAGTGAATGCGTGAGTGCTGCACAGACGCGCACCGTCCTTGAGGAGCGACTCGTAGATGGGGCGGTGGGTGACGCATCGCGTGAACTCGACGTTGAAGAGCTCCTCCTCGTTCATGCCCAGCAGGAACTGCTTCTTGGCGTCTTCGGGCAGATTCTCGAACTTGGCCGACCGTCGCAGAATGTCGCTCTGTCCTCCACACGTGGTGAGTATTTGTTTATTATTTGTTTATCAATTAATTTTATTTCTATTTATGCGATAATGCCTATTTATCCAATGTTTTTAGAGGAAAGAGAACGGGAGAGAGACGAGAGATGAGGCGAACCTTGACTTGGTCTATTGTGAATTTGGAGGGAAAGGAGAACTCTTCGATCGCGCCGTCAGGCAGCACCACCTGAAAATGGAGGGAATTAATCGTAACTCGATATCAATTGGCGCGGCGCGAGATCTGTACCGACAGAGTGAACCGCCCGTGCTCCATGTCGAGGTAGTCCCCCATGGTGGCACTGCTGGGTTCAAATGTGAGAACCTTGCGGCCTTTCCTGTATTATGGCCAAATATTATATTAATTGTAAATCGTCCACCCGGATATTTCCAGACATTATTTTCTTGTGTGTTTTTCAAACAACATATGATAAAATCGAATCCCATTGTTTGTGTTGGATCGAATGCCGCACACGAATAACAAGAACAGGGAGAGGGGATTTGATGGACGGGGCGGCGGTCTGGCGCGACTGAGGGGACGAGGCGGCAGAGGTGGATTCGCGGGGCGAGGCCGCGGGGATGACGGAGCTCCTACTTCGCCACCGCCGCGCGCTCCCGCCACATTCAAGTCGCGCTACTCGATCGAAGCGAAATCGCCTCAGGCGGGCGACAGGAAGCGCAAACGATCCGATTCATCGCCCCCTCCTCGAGGAAATGCAGCATCATCTTCATCTTTTGCTGGCCGAGGTGGTGGCCGAGGAGGTCGTGGTGGGCGCGGTGGCCGAGGCCAGGTCGATCGGCCCAGCAGCAACAAGACCCCATCTCTCGCCGCCCTACGCGCACAATCGGCCTCGGGCGATCGGAAATCACCCGCTACTCGCGATTTCAAGTCACAATCGCGATTCCAAGATGCTGACGATGATGCGTCCTCCTCGAAGATGAAGTCAAAGCAACAGTCGCGCCCTAATCAGCGATTCAACGATTCAAAGCCATCTTCGAGGCCGGCGGCCAAGCCGGCCGCGACCAAGCCGGTGCTGCAGCTGTCGAAGGAGGAGCAGGAGGAGCTCAAGCCGCTCATCAAGGCCCTGCGGAACCGCAAGCAGTTCCACATGCTCAAGGCCCTCAAGCGCCTGCGCAAGCTCGAGGAGAAGGACAAGCCGCTGCCCAAGACGAAGGCCAAGAAGGGCGAGGCCGCGCCGCCGCCGCCGCCGCCCGAAGATGCGGCCGCCAAGCTCGAACGCAAACGGACCATGGCCGCGCTCGAGCAGGAAGTCGAAGAGATCAAGGTACCGCCGCGCCACGTCGTGTTCATGCGCGCACCATCATCTAATCAGTATTCGCGTGTTGTGTGTGTGTGTGTGTGTCGTGCGGTGTGTGCGGTCACGTTGCAGACTCTGGATCTGCAGCAGGTGATCGACCGAGCGCTGGCGCGGCCGGGCGTGAAGCCCCAGCCCTTCGCTTCGCCCGCGCACGCGGAGCTGGCGGAGAAGATGCTCACCTCCAAGGCCGTGCTCGACGCGCTCGTCATCTTCCGCCCGCTGCCACTCTCCGCCGCCGCCGTCAGCCGGCCCGCGCCGGCCGTGCGCGCCGTCAACTTTGCGGCCCTCAAGCCGAGCACCAGCACCACCACGACCACTACCAGCGAGAGTGTCGACAGCAAATGGCCAGTGCCGACAGCGAGCGGCGAGGGCGAGGTGATGAACAGGAAGGCGAGGCGGGAGGAGGAGCGGAAACGGCTGCTGCAGAGCGACATCGAGAAGCTGATGAACGCGAACGCGCAGCCGGCGTCGGCGCCGATGCAGCAGGAAGGCGAGGCCGAAAGCGAAAGCGAAAGCGAAAGCGAAAACGAAAGCGAAGAGGAGGAGGATGAAGAGGAGGAGGCAAGCGACGACGCTGATGGCAATGAAGATGAAGAGGGCGAGCAGGAGGAAGTCAGCGTGGAAGAGGGTCAGCCGAGGAAGAGAGCGAGGCTGGACTTGGCTGCCTCGACGGCCGACGACGACGACGACGACGACGACGAAGACGACGACGTGATCGATTTCGATAGCAGTAGACTCGCCTTCAGCGACGATGAAGATGAGGATGACGAGGGCGAGCGAGACGATGGACCCAAGCAGCGCGGGGAGAACAGCGACTGGAGCGGCGAAGAAGACGATGACGAGTTTCCCTTCGAGGAGCCGTCTGACCTCGATGACGACGACAAAAACGAAGACGAAGAAAAGAACGAAGAAAGCGAAGAAGACGACGACGAAGTGATCAACTTCGACAGCAGCAAGGTGGCCTTTAGCGACGACGAAGATGACGGAGAGGGCGAGCAGGACTTAGGACCCAAGCAGCGCGGGGAGAACAGCGACTGGAGCGGCGAAGAAGACGACGGCGAGTTCCCCTTCGAGGAGCCGTCTGATGACGACGAGAACCAGAACGACGACGATGACGACGACGATGAAGTAATCAATTTCGACAGCAGCAAGGTGGCCTTCAGCGACGACGAAGATGACGAAGAGGACGAGCAAGGCGCGGGACCCAAGCAGCGCGGGGAGAACAGCGACTGGAGCGGCGAAGAGGACGACGACGGCGAGTTCCCCTTCGAGGAGCCCTCCGACCATGATGACGTTGACGACGAAGACGTCGGTGCACAGCGAGCAGAGGCGTCGGCATCTGCGGAGATGGACGTGGATGAAGAGGAAAGCTCTGACGAGCAGGTGAGCGGCGCCGCACCGCACACTCACGCACGCACGATGAGACGCATGACTGACGCTGTGTGTTGTGTGTGTGTGTGTGTGTGTGTGTGTGTGTGTGTGGTGTGTTCTACACCAGGAGAGCGCTGACGAGGGCGCGGCTTCCATGTTCCTGGAAACGATGGGCGACTTCGCCAGGAAGGCCAGCCACGGCGGTGCCACCCAACGCAAGGCGGCCGTGGAGCGAAAGCCGGTCGCCAAGCGTGAACCCAAGCCTCCCGCACCTCCGAGGTACGCCTACTACCGCACACGTACACCGCACACACATGTCGCGCGACTCACACGATTGTCGACAGAGGGAGCGCGGCGGCGGCGGCGGCGAAGCAGCCGTTCGATGCGAGGCGCGCGGAGATGGCGCGGGCGGCCCTGGCGGCGGCGCGGCCGGTGGTGATGCTCGACAAGGAGAACAAGACGCGGCACAAGAGCAACACGCAGCGCGACTCGGACAAGGCCCGGCGACGACGCAAGACGAGCAACAAGTGCCAGGACGAGCACATCTCGTGGACCCTCAAGCGCAAGGCGCGCGAGCGGCAGGCCACCACCATCTTCCGCGGCCAACGCGTCGTCTTTGAGTGATGACGATGGTGGTGTTGATGATGGTGGCGATGAAAAAAATTGAAGAAGAAGAAGAGGTGTGTGGTCACCGCGTGCTCTACATGGACATGATGGTGGTGGTGTTGATGTTGATCCTACGGTATCGTGTAGAGCTTCTACACGATTGGTCGTCGCGTGCATCGGGTCGGGAGACATCGCTGAAAGGACCCGCGTGAACTGCTTCAACCCCCCCCCCAAAGCTCTCGGCATCATCGCCAACGGCCACCTTCATCCCTATCTCATCGTCTCGTCTAGCTCAAGCTAAGGAAGGAGAAAAGAGGCCAACAAAGGTAAGAGGTGCGAGACCGTTTTTTGGTCTTATTCACTTCATCTTTTGCATCTCTTCAAAAGAGTGGATCGATCGATTTGTGGTGCAACGTCTTTTGACGTACACGCCTGGCTGACCTGACGGGTGGGACAGGTGAGGTGTGTTGACGAGTCGAGGCGAAGAAGGTGAGTAGGGAAGAGGAAGAAGAGGAAGAGAATGCAGGTGGCGGCCAGCAACGACCAGAGGAGGGCTGATGGTGGCGGCGGCCTGGTGCAGGGAGCCGTGACCACACCTCCCATCGCCGCGCCCAGCGCCCTCTTCGTGGCTGGTCTGCTCGGGGGCGTGGCCTCTACCCTCGCCGGCCACCCGTTCGACACCATCAAGGTACCCCTCCCAATTCTGTCTTTCTTTATTTTTAAATAGTCAATAAATTCATACAAATATGAATAAATGTTCATATTCTTATTATGAATTATTGATTTTTTTATTTAAAAAAACTAAAATAGTCTTCCCTATTCCCTATTATTCCTATTTCTCATATTCTCCGCATTCCAGGTTCGGTTGCAGACGCAGTCCGTGGGGCCGGGCATCGTGCCGCGCTACGGCGGGCCGCTCGACTGCCTGCGCACCATCGTCAAGGAGGAGAGCTTCCGCGGCCTCTTCAAGGGTACCCTTTTTGGCCTGGCTGGCGACTGATGTAACCGCCACCACCCACTCGGATCGAGCGACTAATCGGCGCTGCACCGCTGCAGGGATCGTGGCCCCGCTGGGAACGCGCGCCATCATCAACGCCCTCGGCTTCGCCTCCTTCGGCATGACCCTCGAAGCCCTCCAGGGACCCCAGGCCGACAGCGTCTCTAAGGTTCACCACACGCACACGCACACGCACCACCGCACACGCACACGCACACGTCACAATCGATGGGTTGATGGCTCATCGCGCAACGCCAATAGAGTGGAAGCAGCAGCACGCTGTGGCACATTGTGCTGGCGGGAGCGGTGACGGGGATCACGGTGAGCCCCATCACCACGGCATCGGAGCTGGTCAAGATTCGGCTCCAGGTCCAGCGCGGCCCAGGCTGGTTCGACCCCAAGGAGCACTTCCCCGGTACTTTCATTCACTGCCGCTTAGGAAAGAAGCTCATCGCTTCACTTCACGCTCACTTGTGTGCGTGCGTGTGTGTGTGTGTGTGTGTGTATGTGTATGTGTGCGCGCGTGTGCGTGTCGTGCATGTGTCGTGTGTGTTGTATGATCAAGGAGCGCTACGGGGAACGAGGATGTACGTGCAGGAGAACGGCTTCTTTGCGCTGTTTCGAGGGTTCCGCGGCACCCTGTGCCGTGATGTGATCGCCTACCCGTCCTTCTTCCTCACCTACTTCACTGTGCGGCACCACCTCGTACGTTCACCCTCTCGCACGACACACACATTACACACACGACACACACGACACACACGACACGCACGGCGGCTGATGGAACGTATATCAGGATGCGGTGGACAAGGCGTTCAGCTGGGTGACGCCGTTCGTGTCGGTGGCGGCGGGCGGGGTGGCGGGCATGGCCTCGTGGGCGTCGGCCTACCCGTTCGACCTGTGGAAGAGCAACGTGCAGCGCGCCCTCACCTTCCCCGCCACGCCCGGCCACCTTTCCTTCCGCTACTTCATCGCCACCCGATACCGCGACCTCGGTATTCGAGGTATGTATGCGTTGTGTGTCGTGTGCCGTGTGCCGTGTGCCGTGTGTCGTGCTGATTGGAAATCGGGCGTGGGCTACAGGGCTGTTCACGGGAATGTGGCCGACGATGCTGCGTGCGATTCCGGTGAACTCGGCCAAGTTGCTGGTCTACGATCTCGTGGTGCGCTGCTTTGCGAACAACAACACCAGGCAGCGCCGGGACAGCAGCTGAGACCAGCCACGCATGCGCCCGACCCGGAAAACCGAAAGATGTACAGAGCACTGAACAGGGTGGAAAAGCTCACCATTTTCGTTCAATGTTGTGTCGACAGACAACATTGCAGAACAATACCAGGAAAATGAAAGAAAGTGGTCGCAATCTTTTATTTAGCGTAGATGGAACGAGAAGTTGAAGAAGAAGAGGAGGAACTTGAAGAGGAAGAGGAGCAGGGCTGGGTGGTACTGGATCACAAGCCAAAGGAAGAAGTAGAAAAAATGAAGGGAAGAGGCAAGCTTGAGACGATTCAGCGGGTGCAGGTCACCACCCGTGCGGGGCTGCGTGCCTGGCTCGAGGCCCACCACCTCACCTCCCCCGGCATCTGGCTCGTCACCTTCAAAAAGAATCAACCGAAGAAGAAGACAGCAACCACCGAGACCGAAGATGAAGAAGACACCAACAACCACCTGCCCTACGCCGACGCCGTCGAAGAGCTGCTGTGCTTTGGGTGGGTCGACGGCCGCGCCTCGCGGCTCGACGCCGCCCGCTCCATGCTACACGTCTCGCCGCGCAAGCCCACCAGCGTCTGGTCCGGCCTCAACAAGACCCGTGTGGCCGCCCTCGAGGCCGCCGGGCTGATGGCCCTGCGGGGCCGCGAAGTGGTCGCCGTGGCCCAGGCCAACGGCCAGTGGGACGCGCTCAAGCAGGTCGAGGCCCTGGTGGTGCCCACGGACCTGGCCAAGGCCCTGGCGGCCCGCGGGCCGGTGGCGCGGCGGCACTGGGACGCGTTCCCGCCGTCGGCCCGCAAGGCCGCGCTGCAGTGGATCGAGCAGGCCAAGCGGAGCGAGACGCGCCGCAAGCGGGTCGACGAGACCGCACGCCTGGCCGAGCGCAACCAGCGCGCCAACCAGTGGGTGCCCAAGCAGTAATGTCAAGGAAAAAAATGTTTACAAATAAAAAAAAGAGAAGAGGGAGAGGAGGAGATGAACCACCACCCGCCGCTTGCCACCTCCGCCGCTGCTGCCGAAGAGGACAAAGACGACGTGGGCACGTGTTCCGTCTGTTTTCTCGCCTTCAGCGCGAGCGAGGCCGACCGCGTGCCGCGGTTGCTCAAGTGCGGCCACTCCTTTTGCACCGCTTGCCTCAGCCACCTCCTTGCGTCCCCCACTCCAACTCCCACCGCCAACTCCGAAGCCGAACTGGAGGAGGCCACGTGGCCTCTGCGGTGCCCCAAGTGCCGCACCGAGACCCGTGTTCTTCTGGTCGACGGTGAGGTCGCGGCGGGCGTGAAGGGCCTGCCGCGCAACTTTGACCTCATCGACCTCCTCTCCTCGGCCCTGAGGCAGCCGCGGCCGACTGGAGAAACCTGCGCCATGGCGGCGCTCAAATGCGCCAACTGCAGCCAACCGGCGGCGGAGAAGTTCTGCGAGCAGTGCGGCGGCGCCCACCTGTGCGTGTCGTGCGATCACCAGATCCACGCGTTCCCTGCGCTGCGGAGCCACAGGCGTGTGGCGTCGACCGACGCGCCGCACGCGCCGGGTCCCTCCACCTGCGAGCGCCACCGGGGCAAGAAGGCCAAGATGTGGTGCGAGCACGACGGCGTGGCCGTGTGCACGATGTGTCTCATTGTGGGACCGCACAAGGGGCACGACGCCGTCACGATCGAGGAGGCCGTGGAGCGAGTGCGCGAGGCCGCGCTGGTCGATCTGGCCCAGGTCGAGGCCGCCATGGGCGAGGTCGAGGCAGCCGTGGAGCGCCAGGCGGCGCACGAGGCCGGCGAGCAGGAGAGCGCGCGCGAGGCGCGGGCTGCCATTAAGCAGCACTTTGACCGGATGCGCGAGGCCGTGGCGCAGCGCGAGAGGGCGCTCGGCGCCGAGCTCGACGAGTGGGAGCACACGAGGGCCGAGGCGGCGGCCAAGCGGCGGGCCGAGCTGGCGGGGGCCCAGACGCGACTGGCAGCAGCCGGGAAGGCCCTCCAGCAGCAGCTGCAGCTGCAGCACGGCGGGCTCGGTCGGTCAGCCACTTCGAGCGATTCCGCGCCCTGCCAGGAGGCGAGGACTGCGGCAGCGGCGGTGACAGGAACGCAGGCGAGCAGCAGCAGCATCGCATTCACAAGCGAAGACACGTGGGTCCAGGTGGTGGGCTCCTCGGGTCGCCTGGAGCGGCGCGTGGCTGCTACTGATGCCGGTGGCGTTGTGCGCGACTACGCCGCCATGACAGCTGCCCAGCGCACTTTCGGTTCGGGTGCCCAGTTAAGATGCCCATGGGGCGTGGCGGTCGACGCGGCAACTGGCCACATCGTTGTGGCCGATTTCGACGGAAGGCGGGTCCACGTATGGCGCTCCGACGACGGGTCCTGCGTCCGCTCTTTCCTCAACCATGGTTCAAGTGCCCAGCAAAGGAGGCCGTGGGGTGTGGCGGTGGATCGTGCCGCGGGCCACATCGTCATGACCTACCCCGACAACCACCGGGTGGACGTGCGGCGCGCCGATGACGGGTCCTTCGTCCGCAGCTTCGGCTCCTCAGGTTCCGGCCCCGCCCAGTTCCGATGCCCGCGCGGCGTGGCGGTCGACGAGGAGGGCCACATCATCGTGGCCGACTGCTTCAACCATCGGGTGCAGGTGTGGCGCGCCAACGACGGGACCTGCCTACGCATCTTCGGCTCCGAGGGTGGCGGCCCCGGCCATTTAAACTGCCCTCGGGCGTGGCGGTCGACTCGGCGACGGGCAACATCATCGTGGCCGACTCAGGCAACAACCGGGTGCACGTGTGGCGCACCGATGGGTCCTTCATCTGCACCTTCGGCTCCGCGGGTCGTGGCTATGGTCAGTTCATGAACCCCATGGGTGTGGCGGTCGATACGACGACGGGCTACGTCGTCGTGGCCGATTACGGCAACCACCGGGTGCAGGTGTGGCGCGCCAACGACGGGACCTGCCTACGCATCTTCGGCTCCGAGGGTGGCGGCCCCGGCCCAGTTCAACGGTCCTGCGGGCGTGGCGGTCGACGCAGCGACGGGCAACATCATCGTGGCCGACAGCAGCAACAAACGGGTTCAGGTGTGGTAACAGGAACGATTGTGATTGACTACGAGTCACTTACTGACCGTTTCTTTCTTCATAAGAAGAAGAAGAAGAAGAACAGGAAGAAACGTTGGTTAGTGCGACTTCTTTCGGTTGCTGGCTGGCTGCTGGGCGGCCTCGGCGGCGGGTGAGGCGGGAGGAAGGAGCCGGAGGTGGCGCAGCGTCTCTTCAAAGTGGGCCAGCGCCCGTTCGTTGCGGTCCGGGTGGTCCAGCGCGGGAGGGAAGAAGAAGCTGAAGCTCGAGTTGTACCACAGCTCGAGCGAGGCGCAAGGCTCATAGTCCAACTGGGGCAGGTCCTTGGGCTGATGTCCCATCGTATCCTGAGCCCACACCAGCACCACAGGCTTCCCTGCAGCACCCACCATTAAAAATGTAATAGTTCTATTTTTTATTTTTTATAGTAAATAAAAAATAGTTAATATATATTCAACATATATTTATTTTATATACAATATAAATATATGGAGTGTGGGCGAGTACCGTGGCACTTCTCAGCGATTAGGATGGTCACGTCGGCCGGTGGCGCGAGCGGATGTATGAACAACAGGACAAGCGAATGCTCGTCCTCTGCCGCCCCGACCAGTTCGTATTCGCAGTGCTTGCGCACCTCCCCACTGCCCAGGCAGGTGAGCAACAACGTGATGACCCCCTCCTAGAGCGTGGATCACCAACCAAGCCAGCGTTAGCCTCGCCACGGTGTGCTTGTATGTGCGTGTGCGTGTGCGTGTGCGTGTGCGTGTGCGTGTGCGTGTGCGTGTGCGTGTGCCGTGCTTGCGCGGTGGTGCGTGCGTGAGTGCGGTGTGTCTTGGCGAGGCTGTGGGAATCGGACATACCCGGAATGGTCCGCATGAAATGACGGCCAGCATCGACTTGGGCTTTGCCGATGCGACGGGCCTGGCTCTGTTTGCCACCGCCGAGGCCGAGCCCCCGCTCGTTGCGTCTGGCCCAGGGCTTCCGCCGCTGGCAATGCGCGTCCGTGGCTGATGAGAGACGAATGCAGGCAGCCCGAGGCGTTGACGCTCTGCACCAGGGGCAAGGCCGACTCCGAGGCTGCGAAGGTGATGCTGCCCCGGGGCGTGTTGACCAGGGCAGGACTCACCAGCGAGCGCACCTCGCGCTCGACCGCCGCAATGGCCCGGGCCGCCGTGCCATTCTCGGCCACCATCGTAGTGGTGAGGCACGCGACGGGGCTGGCCGCCTTGGTGACGACGGCCTGCACGTCGCGGCCCATGGCCTCGAGCCTCCGCTTGGCCTCGGCCAGCTCATCGCGCTTTTGCTGCGCCGCCTGCGCGCGCTCGTCCTGCCACGCGGCCAGCTGGCCCTCGAGCAGCCGCTCGCGCT